GGGGTTCTGTGCCAGGCTCCTCTAGTCCCTGCTACTCAGGAGGCTAAGGCAGGAGGATCACTTGAGCCCAGGAGTTTGAGGTTGACGCCCTGGACTCTACCAAGGGCGACAAAGTGAGACTCTGTCTCAAAAAAATAATAAAGGCAATTTGTTCACCAGTTTCAAAATTAAGTATATGCTTTTACACAGCAATTGCTCATTTGGGAATATGTTCTAAATAAAAATAGACTTCTGGCCATGCATGATGGCTCACGCTTATAATCCTAGCACTCTGGGAGGCCAAGTCCAGGTGGATTGCTTGGACTCAGGAGTTTGAGCACAGCCTGAGCAGTAGAGAGACTCTGTCTCTACTAAAAATAGAAAAATTGAGGCAAGAGGATCACTTGAGCCCAAGAATTTGAGGTTGCTGTGAGCTGTGATGACACCATGACTCTCTACCCAGGACAACAGCTTGAAACTCTGTCTCAAAAGAAAATGAATAAATAAATAAATAATAAAAATAGATTTCTGGGGTGGCACCTGTGGCTCAAAAGAGTAAGGCGCCAGCCGCGTATGCTGGAGGTGGGTTCAAAAACTGCCAGCCCCAGCCAAAAACTGCAAAAAAAAATAGATTTCTGTACAGTGATTTTCATCAAAGCACTGTATAATAGCCTAAGGATGTGGCAAGGTAGTACAGTGGTTATGACACTGGCCGCACACACTGAGGGTGATGGGTTTGAACCGGGCCCAGGCCAGCTAAGCAACAATGGCAACTGCAACACGAAGAAAAAAAAAATAGCTGGGCATTGGGCACCTGTAGTCCCAGCTACTTGGGAGGCTGAGGCAAGAGAATTGCTTAAGCCCAAGAATTTGAGATAGCTATGAGCTGTGACACCAGAGCACTCTACTGAGGGCAACAAAATGAGACTCTGTTTCAAATAAAAAAAGAAACAAAGGGGCGGCGCCTGTGGCTCAATGAGTAGGGCACTGGCCCCGAACAAACTGCAACAAAAAATAGTCAGGTGTTGTGGCAGGCACCTTTAGTCTTAGCACTGCAACAAAAAATAGTCAGGTGTTGTGGCAGGCACCTTTAGTCTTAGCTACTCGGAAGGCTGAAGCAAGAGAATCACCTAAGCCCAGAAGCTGGAGGTTGCTGTGAGCTGTGACACAATGGCACTCTACTGAGGGCAAGAAAGTAAGACTCTGTCTCTGAAAAAAAAAAAAAAAAAAAAAAAAAACAGCCTAAGCATCCATCTAGAGAAATGTGAAGTAAAGTAGGAAGGCATTTTAGTGTTTAGGGTTAACAGCTACATGTGAAGACAACAACAACATCTAAACTAACTTTTTCTTAAAATTTAAAAATTTCCTTCCAAATTAATTTTCAAACTGAGTTTACTTCAGTACTGAACCCTGAGCCCAAGGAGAAAAGCATTAAAGGAAACCATTTTATTTTTGCTCACAAAAATAAATAGATATTGTGAGAACTTAAATGTTATGAATATCTTGTATATAAATAATTTTAAACTGTTCATGTGGAAAACATTAAGGTTTGATTTGATTATAGCTGTGATTAATTATACTTTGATCATGTTGGAAGGTCTTTGCTGAAGTCTAAATAATTTTGTGTGGCTGCTTATGTATATATTTGTACATTGGGGAATATTTCCAATTATTTTCTCATCTTCAGGGCAGGCAGAAATTAGCTCGGTTCAATGCCCATGAGTTCGCCACACTGGTAATCGACATTCTCGGTGACGCCAAGAGGAGACAGCAAGGCAGCCCTCTCTCTAGTTCAAAAGGTAACTGCTCAGACCTCTAAGTGTTTTCTTTTTGGCCTTCTAAATTTAACACACGTGTTCAATTTAAAGTTATAACCTAATTAAAACAATCAACAACATGACAGCTTAAAGTCCTGTAAGTTTTCTTGATAGTACATTTGTGACAAAAACTTTACCTGTTTGAGTCCTGGTGAATTAACAATATTTCAGAGTTATCAACTGTCATTCAGGTTAATCTTATATGTGCTTTTTTTTTCCTTTTGGGTTACTTTCCCTATAAAATTGCATCCTAACACCAGGCATGGTGGCTCACTCCTGTAATCCTAGCACTCTGGGAGGCCAGGGTGGGTAGATTGCCTGCACTCACAGGTTCAAGACCAGCCTGAACAAGCAAGAGACCCTATCTTTAAAAAGTAACCGGGTGTTGTGGCGAATGCCTGTTGTCCCAGCTGCTTTGGAGGCTGTGGCAAGAGAATCACTTGAACCCAAGAGTTTGAGGTTGCTGTGAGCTAAGATGCCATGGCACTCAACTAGGGGGTGACCAAGTAAGACTCTGTCTTAAAAAAAAAAAAAATAAACAGGCATTGTGTCAGGCACCTGTGATCCCAGCTGCTTGGAAAGCTGAGGCAAGAGAATCGCTTGAGCCCAAGAGTTTGAGGTTGCTGTGAGCTGTGATGCCACGG